AAGAAATCCACATGGAAGAAGAACGCTGAAGACACCTTGAAGTAGGTGACTAAGGCCTGAGAATCATGAGCACCCAAAGTTACTGGGGTTCCAGGAAAAGGAAGTCTATTCCCAACTCCTGCCCCCCAGGGTAATCTGGGAAGCTTCCACAGAGGGGCCGGGTGTGGGTGCCCTGACACCTCCCTCCCGGGCCTTCAAGGGCAGGGAGAGCAAACCCATCATGCTTCCCGCCCACTCATCCCAGCCCCAACCCATACCCCCCACCTGCTGAACATCCCCCAGCCAACCCCCCTCCCCTCCTTGCCCTCCCAAACAATACCCCCGCCTCTACTCTAAATCTCCAAGACTAGGACCCTCACTTCCTTCTTCTTAGAGCCTGTCTGTCCCCTGAGGACACAGTTGTCCCCATGGCTCTCTCCACTGGAGGTTCTTTTCTCCCTCAGGCCATGCAGAAGTGGTCCTCACTCACCATGAAAACTTCCAATCTGTTTCTTCTGCCTTCAAAAACCCGGCTCCTTTGGAAGGCATGGAGTTTACTACCCACCACTTTTCCTAGTTAGTATCACCTTATCACCCTCCTGGTCACTTTCTCTGTTCCCTTATGATTTTGGCACCAGGCTCTTTCTCCTACACTGTCATCATTCTTGGTGACCTCAGCATCAGTACTGATGATCCACTGAACACTCCGGCCCCTAATTCCCTTGACTGCCTTAGCCCTAGCAATATATTTTCTCCTGCCCTACCTTAGCTTCCTGGACATACCTTGGACCTTGGACCTTGGAATCATGACTATCAACACCATCCCCAAGATCTCAGATTCAAAGATCCCCCCACCTGTCAGACCCCCAGTTCACCCCCTCCAGTGTTTCTTAAAAAAAAAAAAAAAAAAAAAAAAAGATTTATTTATTTGTTTAGAGAGAGAAAGAGAGTGGGGGGAGGGGAGAGGGAGAGAGAGAATCCACAAGCAGACTCCCCACTGAGCACCGAGCCTGACAGTGGGCCTCAATCCCACAACCCCAAGATCATGACCTGAGTAGAAATCAAGAGTTGGGTGCTTAAGCAACTGACCCACCCAGGCGCCCCCCTCCCTCCAGTCTTTCTCTTCCGCCTGAGACCTCCAACCCATCCTGCTACTGTTCCTTCACTATGTGTCTCCCCTCAGGTCTTCACTTCTCAGCCAGCTGAGATTTCATGATCCAGCACACAAAATCTCCCTTGCAAACATTCTTAACTTCCTTACATTGGTCTCTCTCCATCATATTCACCTGGCAAAACCCCAACTGTGCTTAAATCAAACTGTTTACTTCATACCTGCAACCGAGCAGTTGCGCACCACTGAAGAAAATTCCCCAGCTGCTCTAGATGGACTCACTTCAAATTTACAGCCATAAATTTCAAATAGGCATTTGAACTGCTGGACAATCCTGCTACAGTTTCCTAGAAAAGGAAACTGTCTTTTCCCCCTCCACAGTGCAACAACTTCACACTTTCTCCTCTCTCTGCATATTTTCAACACCCTTCCTCTTTCACTCTTCGTGTGAGCTCAGATACCCTTCATAAAGAAAATAGGTACAATCAGACCAATTCTGTGACCCTGCTGCCACCAAAGCCATGAGAATGTCTGCAGTTCTGCATGCTCTGCACCCGTCTGTGGCCAGACCCTGCGTCTGTGCCCTGGGCCCCTTCCCTCTCACAGCTTAAGTATTCCCTCTTGTTCATGCATCATCGACTTCTCCCTCTCGACTAGATCCTTCCCATCAAAGGAAAACAGGATTTATTTATTTTTATTTTTATTTTTTTAATTCTTCTTTTTTTAAGATTTTATGTATTTATTTATTTGACACAGAGAGAGCACACAAGCCGGGAGAGAGGCAGAGGGAGAGGGAGAAGCCGACTCCCCCCGGAGCAGGGAGCCCAATGTGAGACTCCATCCCAGGACCCTGGGATCAGGACCTGAGCCAAAGGCAGACGCTTAACCAACTGAGCCACCTAGGCGCCCCGATAAAACAAGATTTAATTCCCTAAATTTAAAAATGTATTAGCCTTAGCCTCGTGTTTCCTGCCAGCTACTCTATTTTGCTGCCCCTCTGCAGAGCAAGTGTTCCTGAGACAGTCGTCTCTAGACTGACAGTCCTCTCCCTCGCCTCCCATTCTCACCTCCACCCACTCCAACGGGGCTTTTGTCCTTCCATTCTGTTGTAATAGCTCTTACTAAAAAGGCCAGTGACCCACATTTTGACTAGACTAGTGGCAAGCTTGTGGTCCTTGTCTCCTGTAGTCTTCCAGTTGCACTAAACAGGTTTGACCACCCTGGGGTGGTCCTAATTCTTGCCGCGCTGCCCCGTGTCCATATTTCTCTCTATGTGATATTGCAGTTGCTCCCACTAGAGGCAGAGTATGCTTTCTTGCCCCTTGACTTTGGGCATGGTGGCGTAACCTGTTTCAGCCAACGGAATATAGGGAGGAAGTGCCATGGTGCCAATTCTAAGCCTTGGCCGCAGGAGGCATCTTGTGTTTCTACTTGCCTACTTGTGCCAATGCTATCCCCATGGGAAAAAACCTGCCCTAACCACCCTGCTGGTACAAGGATGATAAGGGACATGTGTATAGAACAGAATCGGACCCAACTGCAGCTTAGAGCTGCTCAGCCAAGGTCAATCACACCTCGCTGACCTCCAGATGACCCACAGATGCATGAGTAAAAGAAATATTTACTGTTATACACCACTGAGATTTTTGTAGCTGTTTGTTACCCAGCAATAACAGACCAATACATCCTCCTTCTTGAAATACTTCCTTTACTTAATTTCCTTATAACCCAATCTTGTGGTTTCCCCCCCAACTTCACAGGTTGTTCTTTTAAGTCCTCTCAGCTGGTTTCCCTCTTCCAGATCCTTAAACATTGGCATGGCTTCAGTGTCAGCCCTCTCTCTTCTGTCTTTACTCTTTCCTCAAGTGGAATTATCCAGGCCACAGCTTTGACTACCATCTACAGGCTTGTTCTCAAATTTAAGTCTGAAGGCAAGACACCCCTGAATTCCAGACCCCAAACCTCCCTCCATAGGTCCAGCTGACGTCTGATAGTTCTTGGCATGGCCACAACAGAACTACAGAGGCACCTCTTCCCCCAAACATGGGCATCCCTTCCATCCAGTTAGCCTAAAAATGGAGGAGTCATCCTTAACTCCTCTCTTCTGTCATAGGTCAGCTCATCAGTAAGTCCTATCTACCATACCTCCAAAATTGCTCCAGAAATCAGTACTGCATCTCACCATCTCTACAGCCACCACCCTGGTCTTATCTCTTCTTGCCAGGACTTCCGCCACCGCATCTCAGCTGTTCTCCTCAGCTCCTAGACCGTGCTCTGCAAAGCAGCCAGAGTGACCTTTCTAAAGGGTAAATGAAATATGTTCACTCCCAGCTAAGAGGGTCCAAAAGCTTCCACTGCAACCAAAACAAAACTCACACTCCTTACCTTGGCCCACAGGGACTGATGATCTAGCCCCTGCCTGTGTCCCCAGAGCCCCTCAAGTCTCCTTGTTCCCATTGTCCCAGTGACGGTGGTCTCCGTGGTGTCTCCGGAACACAACCAGTGCATGTCTGCCTCGGGGCTCTGCCCTCATGATTCCTCCTGCTTGGAGCACTCTTCCCCAGATCTTCACAGGGCTGCCTCCTCCCCATCCATAAAGTCTCAAAAGTCACCTCCGCAGAGACTTTCCCTGTCTAACGAAAGCAGCACCATCAGCCCCGCTCACTTCCAAGATCCCTACTCTAGCACATTAGTTTAGCTTCTCTGTCGTCCTTATCAACAAGAGAAATTGTTTGACTGTGTGTCTACTCTCTTCCCTCCCGTTAGAACATAAAATCCTCACGGGCCGGTATTTGTCCTGATCTCTGATGTATTCCCCAGGCCCAGAACATGCTTTGCACATAGTGGACTCTCAGTAATGCATGTTGGCTGACCTACTGATGCTAGAACTGAATGGAGAAGGGACATGACTGCCTAGATGGTGAAGAGGGGAAGGGTATCCCAGGAAGTCAACTGCAGGGCCACACGGGGAGGCTGGAGAATTCAAGACATTTCCAAGGGAGGGGTCAGGCTGGCTTGGGGGACAACACCCCTGGGGAGCTGGGGAAGAAAAGTCTGCATGGTGGGAGGGCTTGAAAGTGGTCACTCCAAGTCCCTTGAATTAGTGGGTGCTGCTGAGGATTATGAGTCAAGGGCATGATATATTCAAAGCAACAGTTTTCAGATGATGAATATGGTTGAAGGGTATGCATTCCTGAGCGTCCTTAACTAAGTGCTGTCCTGTGGGAGAACAGAATTTTAGAAGACAAAGACATCTAGAAGAATCTGGGAGCCCAGGGGAGCCAGAGATCCATTCCCTCGGATTTCAGATGCAAGAAAAACCCATTACCCAACCTTTTAGGGACCAGTATTGAGTTCCCAGTTTTGGAAGGTCTCCCTGAGTAATTAAGGGTTTGCTGAGTGCCCAGCAGGTGCTCATACACATGTGTTAACGAACTGGTGCCCTATGCCTTGGGCTCCCTTACACCCTCCCCGCAACCACACCAGACCCACACCCACCCACCCACCCACACCCACCCACCCACCCATCCACACACACACACACACACACACACACACACACACACACACACGACTAAATTGCTTTTTCACCCAGTGACTGCACACAGCTTTACCAGACCCCCACCCCATGGATACACCCGGACCCAGCTACTTGCCTTCCCAGCCCCCTCCACCCAATTCCATTGTCAGAGCTGAACAAAAGGCCCAAGGCATCCTGGGTTAAAGGATTTTAACTCTGCCAATCCCAGGAGGCTCCAACAAGAAGCAGCTTCCTGCAGGAGAAAAGTGACTGAGAAAGCTCCCCAGGGGACAGGGTTTTTTTTTTTTTTTTTGGTCAGGTCTCAAAAACAGAACCTAGCCGCCAATCAAGACACTCCCCACCCCCCCAACCTCACCCCAGCTCCCGCCCCAGGGATTAGGAGCTTTAACTGCCTGAGACCTCCCAGCAGTCAGAAAGCTCTCTGGGTCTTTTCGCCCGTGCCTTCTATTTGTGGCGGTCAGGCTTGTCCGCTTCCACCTGGGCCCGAGGAACCGGCCCCGCCACCCCAGCAGACAGCACTCCCCCTCTGCTCTCGGCCCGGAGCTCCTGCCCTCTGCCTCCCCGACTTCGCCCTGCGCCCGCACTGCTGCCCCCCCCGCCCCCCGCGGAACCTCGCAGCCCCGGCCGCGCGCCCCGCTCCCCCAAGCGCCGCACACCGCCCCGGGCCCCGCGGGAGCTCGGGGTGCGGCGCGGCCCCTCCGCCCGGCCGCGGACACCAGCTCCAGAGCCCGGCCCGAAACCCGTCCTCCCCTGGAGAGGCCAGCCTGCGGCCTTGCGGCTGGTTAGCAAGAGCATTTCCAGGGGCTGGGTTCGGAGTGCTCGTTTCTGAGTGCCTCCGTCCTCTCCCAGGGGCAGCGTCTGGGGAGCCCTTGCTGGCTGCTCGGGCCCCAGGCTCCGAGGTTTCTGGAACAAAACTGCATTCGGTGTCAAACCCCTTCGCCGACCCTGGAACTAAAGTTAAGTATGAATTTTTTTTCCTTCTCAAGTTTTTCACGTAGAAGAGATACCGGGCAAATTAGACACATGTCTGGGGAAAGAGTGAGCAGTAAACGCTGGTATTTAAACCACACAAAAATGCCCACGCCAGGCCCGACGCCCGGCGGCCGCGACGCGCCCGGCCCCTGCGCAGCGCCCTCTGGCGGCGGCGCGCGGGCTCGGCCGTCCCGGGGACAGAGCCGCTCCCCGACTCTGAGAGACACCGGGGCAACTTTGGAGGAAGCGAGTCGAAAGCCTCCGACGCCGAGGTCCCCTTTTTGGGGTTCCGCGGCTGGCACCGAGGCCAAGAGCCCAGGGAAGGGGCCCACATAAAAGAAAAACTCTTGTTGCACTTTCAATGACTGCCTGAAATTCTACCAGTACAGCATCTCCATTTTACCTGCAGGCTTTGATTCTTTTTAAAATTCAAGCTCCTCGGGGCGCCTGGGTGGCTCAGTCGTTAAGCGTCTTGCCTTCGGCTCAGGGCATGATCCCGGGGTCCTGGGATCGAGCCCCGCATCGGGCTCCCTGCTCCGCGGGAAGCCTGCTTCTCCCTCTCCCACTCCCCCTGCTTGTGCTCCCGCTCTCGCTGTGTCTCTCTCTGTCAAAATGAAATAAAAAATAAAAATCTTTAAAATTCAAGCTCCTCAAGGAGGGGTGACCCTTCAAAACAAGGGCAGATGGCAGGCTGTGTCAAAAAATTACCAACGTCAGGACCAAAAAGACATGATTGTACCATAATATGTACATTTTAGATGGTGAGGACATTTAATAAGTATCATTTACTCTTCCCCTCGGTATTGTTTGTTGCCCGGCATCCGTTTGTACTCTGAACAGGGGTGTTATTTTAGGCCAACCCTCTCGCAGTGGCCGGTCCCTCCAGATCAGTTGGCTCCAGCTTTTCCTGTCCCTGGTACATCCTCAACATTTCTCCCCTCTGTCCACTCTTCGCTCTCGCGCGGCTGCTTGAGTTTAGGCTCGGAGAGCTTACTGTCTGGATGCCTGCTACCCCAGAGGGAGCACAGGACCCCAGGGAGAGTGGACGGGGCTCTCTCAGGTCCTCCCTCTGCCCACACGCAACACAGCATCTGCGAAGAGGCAGCCACCTCTCACTGCTCCGGGACTGCCTTCCCAAAGGCGGCCGAGTACTCCTGCTTTCAGCTTCCTCACTGACCATCTGTGATTTCTTTCCAGAAAAGTACTGCCATTCCTTCACCTGGTGGAAGCCAGAAGAGGAGAGGGCGCTGGGTCCTGAGGGTCCCAGGCCGGTTCTCCCCTGTCATTTTCCTCTGCATCTCTTTCCCCTGCCTGAAGGATTTCTACGTATCCATCCTGCCTGGTGGGAATTCCTCTAACCTCGTATCTTCCTTCTCCTCGAGGTATTTCTTGCTGTATTTACTGCTACATAACAAGCCACCCAGTGGCTTCGAACAAGAAACATGTATTTATTTACTCATGGCTCTGTGGATCAGGGGGGTGCTTTCTAGACAGGCTCTGCTGGGCTCACTTATGTGTCTGTGGTGAGCTAGCAGGTCACTGGATAGCTCAGGACGGCCTCACTCACACCTGGTGGTGAGCAGGCTCCGCTGGAGCGAAGGGTCACTAGGCCCTGCATGTCTCATCCGGCAAGCTCGCCTGCCCCGGCTTCTTCCCCAAGCATGCCCACAGAGTGAAGGAAGGCGCCACAGAGTCCTGTAGCCACGTTTGCAATCTGTCACGCTTGCCCTCTCCCTTCCTGGGGTGCAGGACCCATAGACGAAGCACACCTCAGGATATTACGTCCCGTACACCCCCCAGAAGAGCAGTTCTGAAGCACGCAAGCCCAGCAGTCCACACGCCTGGCCTCGCATCCTGGCTCCATATTTATCAGACATGTGACCTAGGAAAACAGTTATCTGACCTCTCTGGGCCTCAGTTTCCTAATCTGTAAAAATGGGAATTGTCACTATCAAATTTAAGTTCATCCATACTAGTTACTTAGGTGGTGTCCAGCCCATGATAAGTGCCCAGTAAGTGTCAACCATTATGCCATGAGGTGACCGCTGGCTGCCCACCAGGACTGCTGAGGCCACCAGCACCACCTCCCACCCCGGCTCCAAAGCCCCCTCCCACCACTGCCGACACAGACAGGCCCCGGCTAGCAGCTCTGCTGGTCGCACCCGAAACCTGGCTCCTTCGCTGAAGCCCATCTCTCTAGATTAGCTCTTACAGGGGCGCCTGGGTGGCACACTCTGCCTTTGGCTCAGGTCCTGATCCCAGGGTCCTGGGATCAAGTCCCCAGAGTCCCGTGTAGGGCTCCCTGCTCAGCGGGAGTCTGCTCCTCCCCACCGCCCCACTCGTGCACTCTTTCTGTCTGCTCACTCTCTCTCAAATAAATAAAATCTTAAAAAAAAAAAAGATTAGCTCTTACAAGAAGGGCTCTAAATCCGACAGACCTGAGGTGTGTAGACAAGTGAATTCCTCTCTCTGCGTTTCAGTTTCCTTGTCTGTAAGATGGGAGTACAGATGGCCCCCTCCTTAGGATGGTTCGACTTAGGAACTTTCGATTTTACGATGGTGCCAAAGTGATATAGATTCAGTTGAAACCATACTTGGAATCTTGAATTTGGACAGTTTTTCAACTTATGATGGGTTTATTGGGACTTCATCCCATCTTACGTCGAGGAAGATCTGTAATAGCAGTGCGTCCCACAGAGCATATAAAGCATAATATGAAGAAATTAAGAACCTGTGCTTTAAAAACGTTGGCACCCATGGGACATAGAACCTGTGTTGTCCCTGCAATTGCCCTTCCCAGAGGTGCTGAGAAATTGCCATGGATGAATACTTTTTCCCAAAAATATCCTTTGTCACTCACAGAGCCCTCCTTTCCTCAGTCCACCAGGATGGGCCAGGAACCCGGGGAACAAGCTGAGCTCTCTTTGCCAGGGCTGGTTTAATGTCTGGTCCCTCCACAATACCTCCTAAGGCCTGATCTTTATTTCATTTTCAACCTAGTATCTCTAACACTTAGCGTACAACTTGGCAAGGTAGGTGCTCAATATATATCTGATGAAAGAAAGAAAGAATGAATGAGGATGTAGGAGAGGAAAGACTGTCCCTCCACCCTCCTAGATTCGATAGCTGGGTCTATGAGATAAATTGACAGCAGACAATGAACAGGAGAAAAGATATACACATGTATTAATTTTTAATATTACGTGGACAAGGGCATCACAGAGGGAAAAAAAGCGAACACCTGAGAAACAGATGAGACTTGAGAGCTTATATACCATCTGAATAGAGAAGGAGAGGGAGATGCAGGTCGCTTAGGGGAGAGTAAATGCTTTGGGGAAAGATGAATGGGCCTTCAGAAGAGCAGACGGGAGGTATGAGGGGGGTGTCTGGGGGTGGTGTGGACTCGAAGTCTCCTCTCCTGGGATAGGAGTCAGTCAGATGAAACTCCCAGGTTGGGGATTTAGGACAATCGAGTTCCTTTTGCAGGCTTTGTCTTTAGGCAGAGGAGGGCAGTTCCGAGAGAGCCTCTCCCTGCATCTGCTGTTTTTCAAGTGCCTTCAGCTCAAAAGAATCAATATACCAAAGCAGCCTATTTGAGGTGGTATGTCCTGAACTCCCTCAAGGACTTCATTCTGATGATTTTTCCCCCCTTGGATGAAACCAACTTCTTTTGGATGACTTGCAAACCAAGTCACCCTGTAACTGAACTAACGTGAGTTCACTCCTTGCTGAGTCACAGACAGATATTATACCAGGTGAGTTGTTGCACAAAGGAGACTTGATTTACAGCAAATAAGGAGCTCACTGGGAATAACTTCCAGAGCCATGACTCCCCAAGCAAGAATGAACGGGTCCCTTTTATTTAAGGTTAGGATGAACATTTAGAAAGGGGAGCCTTATCATCATCCCTAGAGGTGGGTATGAGGTGCTGCCATGTGCCATAAGGAGAGGCCTTAAGGCCTTAAGGCCTTAAGGCCGATACCTGCACTGTGGGTTATGTAAAGGAGGCTTGCTCTCCTCCTTGGGTGAAGATTTTAGTATTATAATGAGGTTAAGGTAACTGTCAGTCATTCTATGGGTCCCTCCAAGGTCCATCTGCACAGGTGTGAGTGGGGAGTTAAGTTCAAACTGGGTGGTATGGGCCGGCTAGGATTCTCTGTCTGGGCAGCTGTTAGTGCTTGAGGGGTAGTTTTTGTTTCCATGGCTTCCATCATGGGATCCTAGGCCCCTTGGGTCTTTTGCCTGAGTGAAGAGATAAAGTTGGAAAGAAGAGCTTAAGGAAAAATGTGGGACAAAGGTCAGTGGATACAAGCAGGTGAGCAGTAAAGGTCAGGTCTTGGGGTCTAGCTGGTGACAAACCCCTTAGTGCAGAAGATGTTTCCAAGAGTGGGGTGGTGCTCCTCAGTCTGGCTGCCAGTTACAATCCCTGGGGAAGCATAGGCCCACCCCCAGAAATTCGGCTGTGACCGACCCAGGAGCAGCCAGGGTGTCCCAAATTGGGAGATAGCCACGCTTTGTGTGCATTCTTCATTTTCACCACGTCTCTCCAGAATCCGAGTCTTCGAAGCTGACAGTGAAGAGCTCCAGATTTCGTGGATGGTTCCCATAGCGCTCAGACGACAGCAGAAAATGAATGATGCTGGGCAGGGATTTCTAAGGACACCACAAAACCAGTTCCATGACTGCTTGTGCGTGTTTAGACACAACTGAGAAAAAAATCCACTCATCACAACTTTATGCTTTACGCAATTCATGAAATGAGTTAATTTCATAAACGTGAGCCACGCAAAGTAAATGTGAATCCAGAGGCAAAGCAGAGAATGAGGTCAGCTGGCTGCCGAGCAGATTCCAGGGACCCATGGACTATCCCTAGGGAGCCAGGGTCCTGGAGTCCTGCTAGGAAGTGAGCCGGCTGACAGGAAGCCCTTCAAACGCAGGGCCTGGGGAGGGGGAGGAGCAGCTACTTCTGTGATGATGGGACTAAAGTATCCTCTATAGCAAGGGTATGGGGGTGGGGTGGGGGGGGGCGGGGAGGAGAAGCAGAAGCCGGGCTCCTGGTGTGAAGAAAGCTGAGTGGTGTTTTGGGTTTTGTTTTTGTTTTTGTTTTTGTTTTTGCCTGCTGCACTTTTAGCTGAGCTCTTCTGAAAGATGGATGTGTGTCCATCTGCAAACACATTGCCCCACGCCTAGATTTGAAGTGTGGAGGTAGGTGTGCGGGCGGGGGTTACATAGTGTAGACAGTGCTTGGGCCCGAGCCCGGATGGAGTTTGAGAAGATGGGGATCTTCGGGGAAGGTGTAGTTCTGGGACTGGGGAGGAAGATGGTCACCTGCATCAAATGAGATTTGTCAACCCTGGAATTCAAATTTAGACCCCCAGGAAAGGGTGTGATTGTTCAAAGGATAAGGAAGTAAGGCTGAGGGTGATCTGAGTGGGGCCCTAAAATCTCTCAGTGACACACAGACTGTAACACACAGGGCTTCGACAACCTGGAGGCAAAGGGTGGCCCTGGGTCATTTATATCAGAATGACCTGGGCTGCTGGTGCCCAAGGTGCTCTGGTGCCCAGCCCAGATCTACCAAAGCTTGGGTACCAGGCTTTCTAGGGATTAGGCCTGGGGAATTCAAAATCTTAAATAAGTGCCCCAAATGATTGCAAGGTGCCAAAGAACGGACGGTCTTTAGAGTTGGTAGACAGGGCTAGAGGAGGGTTGAGAATGGGCCTGAAGCTTTAAAATCTGGCCTCTATCCCTGGTTGATCTGCAGTGAGACCAGGAATCAGTATTCTTATGCCATTCCACAGATGATTAGGATAATCATTCACAGTAGGTGTCCTTGGAGGGAATTAACTGGAAAGAAACTTTCCTTATCTCTAACTCGACTCTGCAAATCTCCCCACATTGCCTCTTCATTCAAACTGGGGCATTCTGCACAGACCTCCAGAGCATGCTTGGGGCCATGGAGAGGCTGGGGCCATTGTGTTTTTTTTTTCCCCCAACTTTACTGGGATATAACTGACATATAACATTAAGGTGTGCAATGTGTTGATTTGATACACTGATGTATATAATGCTACCACCATGGCATTAGCTAATACCTCCATTACGTCTCATAATGATATATATATATATATATATATATATATATATATTTTTTTTTTTGTGGCGAGAACATTTAAGATCTACTCTCTTAGCAACTTTCAAGTATACAATACAGTATTATTAACTATAATCACCCTATTGTACATTAGATCCCCAGAACTTATTCATCTTATGGCTCCCTTTGACCAACATCTCCCCATTTCCCCTACCCCCAGCTCCTGGTTACCACCATTCTACTCTGTTTCTATGCATTTGGCTTTTTTAGACCTCACATATGTAAGTGATAGCATACAGTATTTGTCTTATTTCCTTCTTTCTTGTAACTGAGTAATATTCCATTGTGTGTGTGTGTGTGTGTGTGTGTGTATATATATCCGTTTATCTGTTGCTCAATACTTAGGTTGTTTCCATACCTTGGCTGTTGTGAATAATGCTGCAAAGAACATGGGTAGGCATATATTTCTTTGAGATCCTGCTTTCATTTCCTTTGGACGTACATCCAGAGGTGAGATTGCTGGATCATGTGGTGATTCTACTTCTGATTTTTTGAGGACCCTCCATGCTGTTTTCCACAGTGGCTGCACCAATTTCATTCCCACCAACAGTGCACAAACGGTCCTTTTTCTTCGTCTCTTCTGCCAACACTTATTATCTCTTATCTTTTTTTTTAAGTTTTTACTTACATTCCCGTTAACATTCAGTGTAATATTAGTTTCACGTGTACAATATAGTGATTCAGTGTCTCTTATCTTTGTGATGACAGCGATTCTAACAGGTGTGAGGTGAGTGGGGCATTGTTTTGAAATCTTTTTGAATTGATAAGAAGCCACAAAATGCTTTTGGCCTCAAGAGAGGGAGTCTGGCCACCCTTCTGCCAGCTCAACACGGAACAGCAGGCAAAATGTCAGCTGCAATAGAGTTCTAACACCCATAGGATGTGAGTGGACATATAAACAGGCATGTGTCTACACCAGCTGAGGCCCTGCTTCCTGGTACCACTGGCCATGGAGGCCGCATCTTTGCCAGTGGGTGAATTCCAAGGCAGCCTGGCCCTCAGCCCTCAGCCCTCACCAAAGGCAACCTTTGTTTTACAAAAAATCTTTCCATTCTTATCCAAAAATAACACTGTATGCAGTTAATACTCTATTTAATATCAAAATGGGCAGGGGGTCCACAAGGTTAAAACTATTTTCATAATAAAATGTTATTTGCCTTTTTCCCCTCTCATCTTCTCATGACCATATGAAGCTATGTGCTTTGGGAAAACTCTGTCTGATATCACAACAGAGTGAGTCCAAAAGCAGATATGAGACTCCATCTGTCTTTTATTAAGCTAAACATTTTTTAAAAATTGCAGGAATGTAAAATGGTGCCACACTTCTCACTAACATTTTTGTTTTGTTTTGTTTTGGAAAATACAGTTATTTTTAAAATTATGTTAATGTGGTAGGTTTAATATTGTAATTTTAAGTAAATAAGTGTTTTTAAATTTTCAGTTTTAATTTCTAATATGGTAAATTTGACCCCACATAAATAAAAGGCTCTTTGAAGTCTTCAATAATATTTATGAGTATAAAGGAGTCCAGAGATCAAGAAGTTTGAGAACCACAGCCGTATTTCTTCCCCAAATTGTAGATTGTCCTATAGGCTCTACCCCCCAACGTTTTCTAGGGTAAACCCCACCCCACCTACCCCCAGCCAATGATTGGGCTCCACCCTGCTGACAATCTAACATCTCTCACTCTTTTCCAGAACAGCTGCCTCAAAGCTCCGCCACAGCCGTTCCCATCCCTCCTCTTGGTCCTCCCTTCCCGCCTTCCAGAGTGAGGATGCATCCTTTGACTCTGCTCAGCAAACCTAGGATGGGGACAAGGGACGCGTGCAGTTGAGGAAGTAAGGGACGAAAACACAGTCGCTACCCTCAAGGAACTTCTGATTTCGTGGGGAGATACGGACAGGTAAAGCAGCTGCCCAGGAGGTACCTGTCCTTGCGGTTTGCCAGCTAACACCCTGCGGGGAGAGCGGGTATTGAGCCCGCCCTGCCTGCACACCCCACCCCGCACCCCCAACCGCGCCGCCCCTTTCCCTCCCGCAGCCCCGGATTCCCGAGATCCCGGGCCCGCGCGCCCCCTGCTGGCCGCGCCTCGTCTGCGCAGCCTTTTCCCTCGGGAGCTGCAGGAGGCCCAACTAGGGTGAGACCTCGATGGAGTCTAGGGATCCCAGCGCTGGAAGCCCGTCCCTGTGGGGATCTGTCTCGGTTTTCGGCGGCCTTCTGTCTGTCCCTCTGCTCATGTTTACCTCTGGATGAGTAATTCCAGCCTGCTTCTGCCTCTGTGCCTGCCGTTCATCTTGTGTATTCGTTTCCCCCACCAAGCCCATTAGTAGGTGACAGAGAGAGTCTGTCACGGTAGAAATAATACGTGCTGCGGCTTGGACCCAAGTCCAAGGAGCACGATGCCAAAGTTGCCCTTCCTACTGGTATGCCCCATAGCAAATAATCTGATGTCTAAAGCAGCCCTGGACATTGGCGAATGATGGATATTCTACGTTGGGGTCAAGTTCCTTCCGAAGGGGGAAAGAATCCAGAGCCTCTGAATATCAAGGCTTAGGCTGGATTCCCTGCTCTTAGGGAGTATATTTCCCGCACTGTAGTGTGGGGGTCAATACCCTAAGACCTCCACCTGTCCTTCCAGGACTTTCTTCCACGGAGGTACCCCCCCTCCCCCTGGCGTGCTATTGCTGTAAACAGGACTCCGGTGGTCTGCTGTCAAATCTCAGAACTCCTCAAAGTGAGTATGCAACAAACATTTTGACTCTGGCTTCCTCCGTACAAAAAGCAAGCCCTAAAATCGAGGAAGGAAACACCAAAGTGCCTCTGTTTTAATCAAACCCTAGAAATTCAGAATGAAAGTATCCTCAATGTGAGGATACTGAGGACAGTATTGGGGGGGTGGAAGGGAGTTTCAGAGGCAGCAAGATATCCTTAGGGACCAGCCTAAGGATTTCTCCTACAGCTCTGACCCAGACTCCATTAGCAGGAACCTCACTGCCCCATAAACAAACTCAACCATCTTAACCTAGTGGTTTCCATGGTAACCATCAAAGAGTGATCCCCTTTTCTTTCCTACAGATGTTCCTCCTACCCCTCCCCTCGCCAATCACTTTCAGGCAGGGCCTAGAACTGGATTCTATTCAACTATATTTGCAAACGGTTTTCCCCCTTTTAATCCATGTTTTAAGAAAGTACAAACCATTTCTTTAATTTACATGGAAATACCCTTTAAAAATAAACCAGTAATGTCAGGTACATGGAAGCATGTAGTTCATTTTATTATTCTTTCTGAGTATGTTTAAAATGTCTTATAATGAGCAAAATTTTCTAAGTAAATTAAAAATTTAAAGTAAATTAAAATTTTTAAAAGTAATCTCTATGTCCACTGTGGGGCTCGAACTCACGACCCTGAGATCAAGAGCTGCATGCTCCACCAGCTGAGCCAACCAGGTGCCCCTGAAGTGAATTTAAAAAAATTTTTTTTTCGGGGGCGTCTGGGTGGCTCAGTCGTTAAGTGTCTGCCTTCGGCTCAGGTCACGATCCCAGGGTCCTGGGATCGAGCCCCGCATCGGGCTCCCTGCTCCGCGGGAAGCCTGCTTCTCCCTCTCCCACTCCCCCTGCTTGTGTTCCCTCTCTCACTGTGTCTCTCTCTGTCAAATAAATAAAATCTTTAAAAAAATAAAATAAAATAAATTTTTTTTCTAAAAAAATTTAGGCAAAAAAGAAAAAAAAATTCAGCATATCTGAAGAAAATCTGGTCTTTGTGAAGAATGATGAGAGATTAAAAAATAAACACCATTTTCTACAAAAGGAACTAATAGATTATAAGCCTCAGTCCTTATTTGGGATGTGGTAAAAATGGCATAGTCTTAAGACTTTCATTTCGAAGCACAAGAAGACTATAAATAAACCTCTAAAGTATAATAATAAAATGTAGATATTTGGGGGACATTTTTAAAAATGAATGAATCCCATTGTCCTTCTTCCATAACTCCCTTCCCATCTTTTACTCATGTCGCCCCCGTACCCTGCCAAATCTTTCAAACTTCCACAATGAGAAACCCAGCAAGTGTGAGCACCTGCTGTTCTTGTCCTACAGCAGGGGGTGGGTAAACTATGGTCCTTGGGCCTATTCTGGCGGGGTGCCTCTTGTTGTCTGGCTGGTCAGCTAAGAATGGTTTTGCATTGCTAACAGGCTGTAAGACAGGCAAATGCACAAAGAAGGATCTGGGACCTACACTCGATGTCCACCCTCTGGCCACGTCTGATCCGCGAAGCCTCTCCGCTGTAGGCTGGCTGGAGCCCTGGTGAAAGGTGGCTTCTCTTCCATCTAGGCAGCTATGACGAGAGGTACAGCCAGGAAGTTGCCATGCCGACAGGGAATTCAGCTCTTAAAATAGTCCACGGTGCTGAGGCATTTCCAGGGTGGGTGGGTTTGGAGGGAGGGGGTTCGGGAGAGGGGTGGGGAGAGATGATAAACTAATGAGTCAGACCCAACTGGTGACAGCTGTCCCATCATCCCTCTGGCAATGTGAGGTGGGCAGGGGCGGCTCTCTAAAATGAGGTCGGAAAGAGACATTTTCCATTCAAAGAACAGGAGAGCTCTGTTTCCTCACGCTATTTTCCTGCCTGACAGAAGGAAATTCCCCTCTCCACCTCCCCTCCCTCTGTGGGTCCACCCTGCAGAGAATAGAATTAGGCACCACTCCCCTCACACAGCGCCTGTGGGACTGGGGGGACTTGTTGCAGGACTGGGAGGGGCAGGCTCTCACACACGGCTGCCTCACGGCTCTGTCCCTGGCAGGCTCGAGCCTCCTCCTCATCGTCACAGTTAGCATCGTCAGGGGACGGTAGGGGACAAAATTCGCCACCCCAAAATGTGTCTCTTCGGCACGTGGATTATTGTAGGCTGATTATTTTTAAGAAACAGAAGGCTCAGGAAGAACCTTCGACCTTCCTCTCACTGCCTACAACAATTTAGATGGAGGACCTTCTCCAGGAAGGGAGGTTATCACCCTAGATAACCAGAGCATAATATGAACTAAGGGTGGCAGACGGGGAGAAACTTAGCAAAGTCTGTTTGTTAAAATTCCTCTCCGTGTCCCACTGTTTCTGGATGGCGCAGCAAACATTTATTTACCGAACATTTACTCTTTTTCATCTTCCTGTGAATTGTCTTCCTTCCCTTTGTGATCCCAGACCCCTACCCACTTCTCCTTAGCTCCAGGTACCATATAAGCCTCAATTGCCTGACTGCTTACAGGCTTCATATTCCTATGAAGCCCCTTAGTATGTATTTAAATTTGATTTTCTCCTGCTAATCTTTCTCATGTCAATTTAATTCATAGTCCAGCCAAAAAGAAAAAACCTTGAAAGATAGAGAAAAATTTTTCTTCCCCAGCAGGGCCAAAATGAAAGTATATCACTGAAGATGTCTTTTATCCAGACAGACCAATCAATCTGCCATCAGTCTTTGAGCATTTCCTGTCACCCCTCTGTTGTGCCCTCAATGCCTGGAAGATGAACTGAGTACTTATTTTTTTATTGTGGTAAAATATATATAACATAAAACTTACCATTTTAACCATTTTTTAACTGTACAATTCAGTGGCATGAAGTACATTCACATTGTTGTATCAATTTCCCCACCATCCATCTTTGGAACTTCTTTATCATCCCGTATACTGAAATTCTACACGTAAGTCTCCATTCTGTACCCCCACCCCCAGGCCCCGTCACCACTATTCTATGTTCTGTCTGTACCAATTGGCTATTCTAGGAGTCTTATATAACTGGAATTATACGGTATTTGTTCTTTCACTTAGAATATCTTTAAGGCTCATCCACATAGACACATGCATCAGAATGTCATTCCCTTTTAAGGACGAATAATATTCCATTTTGTGTATAGACCACATTTTGTTTAGCCATTCGTCCATCAATGGACATTTGGGTTGTTGCCATCTTTTGGCTATCATGACTAATGCTACTATGAACACGGGTGTACAAATAGTTGTTGAGTCCCTGCTTTCAGTTCCTTTGGTGGCAAAGTCCATTTTCAGAAAGAGAACAAGGAGAAGATTAAGAATGCAATCTCAGGGCACAGAAGATGCTACAGCACCATTTTCTTTATTTTTTATTTTTTTTATTCTTATGTTAATCCCCATACATTACATCATTAGTTTTAGATGAAGTGTTCCATGATTCATTGTTTGTGCATAACACCCAGTGCTCCATGCAGAATGTGCCCTCCTCAATACCCATCACCAGGCTAACCCATCCTCCCACCCCCCTCCCCTCTAGAACCCTGTTTGTTTTTCAGAGTCCATCGTCTCTCATGGTTCGTCTACCCCTCCGATTTCCCCCGCTTCATTCTTCCCCTCCCGCTACCTTCTTCTTCTTCTTTTTTTTTTTTTCTTAACATATATTGCATTATTTGTTTCAGAGGTACAGATCTGAGATTCAACAGTCTTGCACAATTCACAGCGCTTACCAGAGCACATACCCTCCCCAGTGTCTATCACCCAGTCACCCCATCCCTCCCACCCCACCCCCCACTCCAACAACACTCAGTTTGTTTCCTGCGATTAAGAATTCTTCATATCAGTGAGATCATATGATACATGTCTTTCTCTGTTTGACTTATTTCACTCAACATAATACCCTCCAGTTCCATCCACGTCATTGCAAATGGCAAGATCTCATTCCTTTTGATGGCTGCATAATATTCCATTGTATATATATACCAAATCTTCTTTATCCATTCATCTGTCGATGGACATCTTGGCTCTTTCCACAGTTTGGCTATTGTGGACATTGCTGCTATAAACATCGGGGTGCACGTATCCCTTCGGATCCCTACTTTTGTATCTTTGGGGTAAATACCCAGTAGTACAGCACCATTTTCTTACCTTTTCCATTCCACCATCCAAAGTCCATCTCTGACAAGGCCAGCAAGCCCCTTGTCTCTTGCCTTCCTCCCTCATCCATCCTCCAGCACCTTGCTCTTACTGCCCATTATCATGAGGTCATTCCCATGGGCACCTCTAGTCCCAGATCCATCATCAAGGACAATGGGCAGCTTTAAGGTTGATGGTTAGTTCTCATATTTTTCAGAGTTGAGCATTATTAAAATAAAACCAATGGTATCTTTTAGCATGGTTTCAATGTGTGTTTATAGTAAAGGACTCATTTCCCACCAGGGATAGAGAACTGAAAGACTCGATGCATGGCATACCACTAGGAATTTTTTGGTTGGGAATGAGCACATGGTCTCAGTTGGCTCAGGCTGAAGGGAATGAATTTTATCTCATGGCTGGGCATAGTTTTGTTTTGTTTTGTTTTGTTTTTCTCTAGAAGTGCCCCACTTGAGGCCGGTTGAAAGGAAGCTGGGCTGTGGATGCAGCTGACATCTAGGAAGGAAGGCAGAGCTGAGAGAATAGCAGAATATGGTGCTAGAGCCCTGATCATGCAATGCCTGAAGCCTGAACTACCCCAGTTACCTCTGAAGGAGCTAATAAATCACCTTGTATTTCAAGCCAATTTTGATAGGGCTTTCTGACCCTTGTGGCCAAAAACATTCTAACATATGCAGTCTGCATGGTGTTAGGAGTTTGGTTTTAACCCCAAGAAGAGTGGAATGTCATTTTGAGGTTTCAGCACGGAGAGCCCAGGGAGAGGGTAAACCAGTCAGATCTGCATTTCAAAGCATGTCTTTGGCAGCAGGGTGGAAACGGGTTAGTAGGGAGCTGAAGTGGCTGCAGTTAGGGACCTTACTGTGCTAGTCCTGGTGAGAGGTTATAGAGGAGAGAAGAGATCTGGGAGATTTTCAGGAAATTGGGTAACTTTGGTAGAAGTCAGTAAGGTAGTAGGGTTGACAAGCCTTAGTGATGGTTTGGGGGGAGAGGATGGGGGTGTCAGGGGTGACCTCTCGGTTTGTGACTTGCTCAGCTGGATGGATAGGGGTGCTACCCACCATGACAGGGCTGTTGTTGAGGAAAAAAGATTGAACACTGAGAGTGTCAGGTTGCTGGAGAAGCCAGACTTCAGCTGGAGAAGCAACAGCCGTGCTAGCTGTTAACCGACTGTGTTTACCTGGATAAACTCATGAGCACAATGGCCTCATTGCCACTTTACAGATGAGGAAACCGAGGCATGGAGAGGTTAGTAACTTCTCTCAGGCCATACAATCAGCTAGAAAATGAGATTTGAACCCAAGCTGTTTGTCCCCATGAAGCACCCAAGGAATATACGCACCAGGAAGGTTCAGATGAGAAACAGCAGGTAGTACGGTACTATTTTCTGAGGCCTGAGCCCCCACCTCCAAAGCAGAGCACTCTAGGAAGCTGGATTTTAATTCCTGGCCCAGCTCCCCTTTCCTAAGTCAGTTAACACCTCGGTGGCTTCTGACTAAGCAGCCTGGATCCATATCCCAGGGCCAGCCCCCCTAGCGGAGCCTCTGCCCCAGCCGCCCAGGGACCACAGCTTCAGCCTGCTGCTGTCAGCAGGGTGGAAGGGTGCCAGGCAGAAGGAAGGCATGGGTGAGCCCGCTCAGGGGCAGGGCCAGCCTACACTGCGGTCACCCAGAAAGGGAGAAAGGAGAGAGCCATCCTGGGTGCTCCAGGTCCTTGGAAAGCACCGCCGTTAGAAGTCTGTGCCCTGGAGTCAATCCATTCTCCTCTGCACCTGTGGGGATGTACTTCTTCATCCTGGCTTGTCTTGTCAACACACAGTGCCAAGCAATGTCCTCAGCAGCAGCCTTCCAGTGACAGAGCTTTCCTGAGCCCGGTCCTAGAGCATCCCTCCGTGGAGAGGACTGCAGGGGCCAATCCGGCACCAAGACTCCTGAATGGGGGGGAGACGGACACAGCTCTGTCACCACCACTTCATCATCTCCTTCATCACCATCATCAGCGCTTTTCAGTTTACTAAGTGAATATACCGAGCTTACTGTTTAACATCGTAACCCCAAATGTCAGATGGGGGCTCCCTTCCTCTTGAGATCTATGTGAAATCACACTGATATCCCCGCAAACACACAGACACATAAATTCCCAAGTCAATGACTATCTAAAAGATCCACCCTTCACTCCATTTCTACTAAATTGGTAGCAGGGAAGAGGTTTTGTTTCTCAGATTTTCTGCCCCATGGGCACCCACTTTTTTTGGTATGCTTCCATTATATGTATTTTTTCCTATTAGTTTCAGAGTAGAATTTTAGTGATTCATCAATTGCATATAAGACCCAGTGCTCATTCCATCAAGTGCCTTCCTTAATGCCCATAACCCAGTTACCCCATCCCCCACCCACTTCCCCTCCAGCTACCTTCAGGTTGTTTCCTAGAGTTCAGCGTCTCTTATGGTTTGCCTCCCCCTCAATTTTCATCTTATTTTATTTTTCCTTCCCTTCCCCTATGTTCATCTGTTTTGTTTCTTAAATGCCACATATGAGTGCAATCATGTGGTATTTATCTTTCTCTGACTGACTTATTTCGATTAGCATAATACCCTCTAGTTCCATCCATGTCATTGCAAATGGCAAGATTTCATTCTTTTTCTTTAAGATTTTATTTATTCATTTGAGAGAGAGAGCATGAGTGGAGGGAGGGGCAGAGGGAGCTGGAGAAGCAGACTCCCCGCACAGCAGGGAGCCCGATGCGGGGCTTGATCCCAGGACCCTGGGATCATGACCTGAGCTGAAGGCAGACGCTTAACTGACTGAGCCACCCAGGCGTCCCAATATTTCATTCTTTTTGATGGCTGAGTAATATTCCTGTGTGTGTGTGTGTGTGTGTGTGTGTACCACATCTTCTTTATCCACTCATCTGTTGATGGATATCTGGGCTCGTTCCATAGTTTGGCTATTGTGGACATTGCTGCTATAAACCCATTGGGGTGCATGTGCCCCTTCGAATCACTATGGTTGTGTCCTTTGGGGGGTTTTTTGTGTTTGTTTGTTTTTTAAAGATTGTATTTTATTTTATTTGAGAGATTGAGAGAACAAGTGGGAGGAGGGGCAGAGGAAGAAGTAGGCTCCCCTCTGAGCAGGGAGCCCTAGGTGGGACTCGATCCCAGGAATCATGACCTGAGCTGAAGGCAGACGCTTAACCAGCTGAGCCACCCAGGCGCCCTGTTTGTATCCTTTGGATAAATAGCTAGTAGTGCAATTGCTGGGTCATAGGGTAGTCCTATTTTTAACTTTTTGAGGAAGCTCCGTACTGTTTTCCAGAGTAGCTGCACCAGTTTGCATTCCCACCAACAGTGTAAGGGGAGTCCCCTCTCTCCATATCCTTGCCAACATCTGCTGTTTCCTGAGTTGTTAATTTTCCCATGGGCTCCCACTTCTAGGAGTGGTTTCATTTGTTCTGTCGAGTCACGGCTGATATAAAACTCAGTCCTCCATTGGTTTCCACAGAAGAGCCCCTCACAGAGACAGCCCTGCTGAGGTGGACTCTGCTACGACCACGCTGTCTTGTTCTGCATCCTGTCCCCCGCAGCCCTCACCGTTGGGCACCTTGTGAAACTGATCCGAGTCCCTGCTTGCTCTGAGGCAGGCTAGCCACAAGCCACAAGCCAGAGAAATCCACAGTGTCTTCGGGAGGACCACAGAGACACTGATTCCCTGATGGCTAGGGAAGACTGGAAATGATGTTATTAGCAAATAGTTGTTGAGCGTTTCCTGGGTACAGCACGCTGCATGTGGTGCTGGGGCATACGAAGATGATGTCATCCCTCTGCCCCAGAGGGCTCAGCACAGCGGGGAGGACAGGTGCACACTGCTGATGGCCAAGCAGTGGACCAACACAAGTATTGTTGAATATGCGCAAAGGGATCCCAAAAGGAACAGAGTCTCTTTTGGGGTGGGAAGGTGGGTCGAGAGGGCTTCGCAGAGGATGTGACACTTGAGTGGGCATTGGAGGTGAAACTGGAGAGCCCCGGAAGTGCCTGGCCCCCTCTGAGAGTAGGGTGTGGTCAGTACAGGACATGTGCCCTGAGCTGGGACGGTGGCGGGGGGATGTGTCCTGCCTTCCCCAGAGGCTGTGCAGCTTTCCTGTAGGGAATGGTTGGGTACCCAGCAAGGATTTAGCTTGACTGCTTGTGTCCATTCCTCCTTTCCTCCACACTGGGGAGGAGCAGGGAGTGGGATGGGTGAACATCTTTAAGATGTTTGCTTCCTTTAATCAGCCCCCCTGCATGCTGCTGATGTTCTGGCTCCCTGGAGTCTAAGAGGGAAGAAAAGAGTGGATTGAAAATGAGAAAATACTCGTATAAAGGAGTAAAAAGCAGCTAGAAGTACAACACTCATTTGGAGATGGAATGATACATGAGATAAAATCCTAAATAAATATCTTGCATGGTACTAATTGCATTTTAAAAGCTGCCACCAGAGAACAGATAAAACGATGCTGTATTTCATTAGTGGCTCCTTTAATTCTATGGTATTTGCCAGCAAGCCCTATTAAAGCACTCTGTAATTAAAGACCAGTTCTGGGTCCTGTAATTTAGAACATTATCAAAATATGGCAAGTGGCTGGAGGTAAAGAGATAGAAACAAACACACTTTCATGAGGTCCTTGTAGATCACACAGCATGTGCATTTTAAAAGCTCAGCTATTGTACCACCCCTGCCAGGAAGGTCTGTTCACATCAGTGTTTTTCATTTGATGGGCAACCAGTTACATTATTATGATCCTACAGGAGTGTGGATGGAGAAGTAAATCGGTTCTTTTTTAAAATAATTTTTTATTGCAATATAATTCTTATAACATGAAATTACCACTTTAAAGTGTACAATTCATGGGGCGCCTGGGTGGCTCATTTGGCTAAACGTCTGCCTTCGGCTCAGGTCATGACCTCAGGGTCCTGGGATCGAGTCCTGCCTCGGGCTCTCTGCTCAGTGGGAAGTCTGCTTCTCTGTCTCCCTCTGCCCCTCTCTCCACTCATACTCTCTCTCTGTCTCTCTCTCTCTGTCTTAAATAAATAAATAAAATCTTTTTTTAAAAATGAAATGTACAATTCAGGGGTTTTTAGTGTATCACCACTAATTCCAGAATATTTTCATCATCCCTGCAAGAAACCCCATACCTGCTAGCAGTCGCTCCCCATTTCCACCCACCCAGCCCCTGGCAAGCACAAATCTTTCTGCCTCTATAGATAGGCCTATTCTGGACATTGCATGTAAGTGGGGTCCTATAATATGTGGTCTTTTGTGACTATCTTCTTTTGCTTCAAATATTCTCAGGGCTCATCCATGTTGTAGCATGTATCAGTACTTCATTCCTTTTTATGGCTGAAAAATATTCTGTCGTGTGGACAGACTGCATTTTGTCATCCACCAATCAGCCGGTGGACATTTGGGTTGTTTCCATGTTTGGGCTCTTATGAATAAAGCTGCTATGAACATTCATGCACAGGTGTTCGTGTGAACATATGTCTTCAGTGCTCTCGGGTATGAACGTCGGAGTGGAAGTGCTGGGTCAGATGGTAAGCCCATGTTTAACCTTTTGAGGAGCCGCCAGACCGAGGTCCACAGTGGAGACACCACTTTACATTCCCGCAGTGCGTGGGGGTTCTGATGGCTCCACAGCTTTGCCACAACTTGTGTCTATTGCTTTTCCTTACAGCCATTCTAAAGATGAGCAGTGGACTCTCACTGTGGTTAAATGTATCCTTTTTTTTTTTTTTTTTTAATGTATCCTTTAACCATGAAAACAGCTATGGTGCGCTTTGCCCTTGTGGTAAACCATGGCCGCGCTCTCTGTGTCAGCCCTGCGGGAGACGGTACATGGCCCACTTCTCCTGTCCTCTCCACTGGGAACTGGCCTGGACCTCCCAACCCAGGACATGAACACAGTGGGTGGTTAGCTGAGCTCAGCTCCTCTACTTTCCCCTTCAACTCTCCTTCAGAGGCTTAGCAGGTGCAGTGATAAAGACCAGGCAAGAGACCAGGAGAGGAGAAAAGAAGGCCAGGTTGCCCAGCAGAGAGAGGCAGTTTGAGGAGAGGGGCGCCGGAGCAGGGGCCCAGTAGAAGGGAAGCAGATGAGGGGAAGTAAAAGGATGACACCTGTTATATGATTGTTTTTTTGAATTGGTGATATATGCACATGGTACACAATTATAAAAATCCACCCTTCCCCCACCTTTGGCTCCAGCACCCCATTATTTTCCCTAGAAGGAACATCTTTTATCAGTTCTTTGTGCATCCTTCCAGAAATATTCCATCGCAGAGGTTCTCAAACTTCCCTGTGGATGAGAATCCCCCCAGAGGGCTTGTTAAATCAAAGAATGCTAACCCACCTCTGGCGATTCTTTTCTGATTCAGAGGGTCTGAGAATTGGCATTTCTAACGAGTTCCCAGGTAATGTGGATTCTGCATTCTAGGGGCCATACTCCGAGAACGACTGTTCTAGAGTATTCATAGGAACCCTTTCCACACGTAGCCCCCTTTTCTGAAGTCACTCAGTATGGAAATGTCCCTAAGACACCATTGATATGGCACAATCCCTGCCCCTGTGTCTTCTCTGTGCTGCCTTCTTTGCCTAAGATACCTTCATTCCCGACCTCCACACATCCAAGGCCATCCTCAAAGGCCATCTCCTCCAGGCAGTCTTCCTTGGTTCTTTCCTTATATGGAAGAAACTGTCTATTCCTTTAAACTCCCATAGGAGTGTTTCTCTGTATCTCTTGAAGGGCACCTATTATTTACTAGAACAGAATGCTAAATGGGGCTCTTTCTGCTTTGTTTTCCACAATTTTTGTTAAAGAGATATCCTAACGTGGGTTTAAGAGATCTTCAAATGCAGAATTCAGGTTTCAAGAACTTTGGAATCCCCCTGGAAGGTTTCTTGGGAGAAAGCTGTTCTCTAAGCCTAGAGAGGGGGAAGATGAGATCATATGGGGGTGTCACCTCCTTCCCCTTGAGCTCAGAGAGACTGGGCTTCAGTGGCTGCTTGAGAGCTTGAGGTGCACTCTCGACAGTGGGGAGCCTCTGTGGCCTGGGGCCAGACTCACACCTGTCTGAGAGAGCAGAGGTGGCCTGGGCCCAGCAAATGGAGGGTCAGCGTTTCTTCTGGACCAAGGAAAGTTTCCAGAGCAACCACGTGGCAACATCTGAAATCCTACCCAATGTGGCCGGGGTGGTAGGGGGCTGCGAGGAAGTGGGAGGTGAACCAGACTCCAGGCCTACACTGTGACAGAGTCCCGGGAACTACAGGGAAGCCCCCAGTTTGGGGGATCTTTGAGTAACACAAGTGAGCACAAGAGTCACCTTTAGGAACCTGCCGTCCAGAGGACCCCGATGTTTGCACATGAGGGCACCACCTTGGATTTTGCCCTTTCTCCCTGTGTCCAGGGACCTCGGCAGCCTGCTGGTGGGAAGAGTGGGTGGGGAGGGAGAAAAAGCCACCCCACGCCCCTTCTCCGGCAGCCAGGAAGATGGAAGAAAACGTAAGCCAAGTCAAATTCCAAGTTTGGGTTATTATATAGGACTGGGAATGCCACGGACAGAAGACTGGGGTTGTGCCTGAAAGGGGCCGTTTCCCGAGAGTGGCCAGTCTGTAGCCCTGCTGGGGCTTTCGGCAGGTGCAGGCAAAGTCGTCCTTCTGATTGTTTATTCCTGTTGGCTTAAAAAAGGCAAGGCGCGCGCGCACACGCACACGTGCGCCCTCTGTAATCTCTCTCTCTCTCTCTCTCTCTCTCTCTCTGTCTTACTACTACGTGGCGGCTCTTTGGTGCCCAGCACCGCGCCGGGCACACACTAGGCACGCACCCACTTCTTTATTCTTATTCTTTCCGTCGGCATTTATTGGGAACCCAGGCTCAATGCCAGCACCGGGCGGGAAATGAAATGGATGCGCCTCTTGTCTTCCAGGAGCTTGCTGTCCGCTGGGCGTGTAAGAGAAGCTTCGGTGGAAAGCGGGAGCTAATTCAAATCGGAGCCAAGCGGGGCATACGGATGGGTGCGGTGGGCCCGGATGGGACAACCGGAGCGCCAGCGACTTGGGCAGAACAGGACGTGCACCGTGACCCTCAGAAGGTAGCAGCTGCCCTGAGAATCCAAGCCCACCGTTGCCACACTGCCCATTTGTTCCAAAAGAGTAAGGAATCTGGATTTTTGTGTGAAATGCCCCCAACAAAACACATCTGTGGACCGGCTCAGCCCAAGGTGGCCGCTTGGGGCGCTGGTGCTGCTTTGGCCCTCTCCCTGCTAATCTCGTGCCCAAAGAGGGGCTGCCAATAATCGAGAGCCACGTGCTGCTTCTTTAGGAATTAATTAGTCAGGGTTTGGAGAGGATGTATACAAAGAACTTAGCTTTATTAAGATACTCCTTTGGCCTGAAGAATAAATATTTTTAAAATCCCAACCCTAAGTGCTTAATCTGCTAAAATGGGCAACAAATAGAATGAATGCTGAAAAGAACTTGCTTCCTGTTTCAGAAGAGCCCCTGTGACCTCTGCAATCTGATTATAGAGAAGTGGACTTTCCTGCCAGGAAAGCGACAAGAAGCCACAGAAAAACCAAGTCCCAGTTGGAGGGGAACTAGCCAGCAAGTTGCATTGACTGCAATTTCATTACCTTGAAAATGATTCCATCGGTTGGAGACCTAGTGACAGCTTCTGGGCCTGATTTTTTTCTTCTGGAGCTGTTCTTTGCTCCCTGCCCTGACACTGTTCCGATCACAAGGCCCAGGAGCCAGGCTGTAAGTGGAGCTGGAGAAGTTCTGGGAGACAACAAACGATATGGCAGGCAGCCCAGCAGAAGCAGCTACCTGAAATGCCTTCTCTCCAAGTTCTGCATCCTGCTCTGGGGACAGACCCAGGGGTGGCCTCTATACAGGTACGACAGATGAGAGAGAGAGAGAGTACAAATACAGTCAGGTTTCTTTTCTTTTTTTTTTTCCACCCCCCCCCCACCTCCTCTCTAGCAAACACCAACTCGTTCTCTGTATCTAAGAGTCTTTTTCTGGGGTGCCTGGCTGGCTCAGTCGGAAGAACATGGGACTCTTGAGCTCATGGTCATGAGTTGAAGCCCCACATTGGTGTAGAGATTACTGAAATAAATTAATAAATAAATAAACAAATAAACAAATAAAATTTTAAGTCTTTTTTGTCTCCTTTTTTTTTCATTTGTTCCTTAAATTCCACATGAGTGAAATTATATGGTATTTGTCTTTCTCTGTCAGACATTTCAGTTAGCATTATCCCTCGAGGTCCATCCATGTTGTACATGGCAGGATCTCGTTCTTTTTTATGTCTGAAGAGCATTCATATATATATATGTATGTAATAGTCACATGTATGTATATATATCTCCCAACACGGGGGGAGCTTCTATATTCAGCTATTGTAAATAATGCTGCAATAAACACAGGGGTGCATAGATCTTTTTGAATTAGTGTTTTTGTTTTATCTGGATAAATACCCAGTAGTAGAATTACTGGATCATATGGTAACTCTATTTTTAATTTTTTGAGGAACCTCCATACTGTTTTCCACAGTGGCTGCACCAATTCACATCCTTACCAACAGAGTACAAGGGTTCCTTTCTCTCCACATTCTCACCAAAACATTTCTTATTTTTTACCGTTAATAATGTCCTTCTAGGGCCTCTGAGTGGCTCAGTTGGTTAAGCAACTGCCTTCGGCTCAGGTCGTGATCCCGGGGTCCTGGGATCGAGTCCCACGTCCGGCTTCCCCTGCTTGGTGGGGAGCCTGCTTCTCCCTCTGCCTCTGCCTGCCACTCCCCTGCTTGTGCTCTCTCGCTCTCTGTGTCAAACAAATAAATAAAATCTTTAAAAAAAAAAATGTCCTGGGCGCCTGGGTGGCTCAGATGGTTAAGCGTCTGCCTTCGGCTCAGGTCATGATCCCAGGGTCCTGGGATCGAGTTCCGCATCGGGCTCTCTGCTCCTTGGGAGCCTGCTTCTCCCTCTGCCTCTCTCTCTCTGTCTCTCATGAATAAATAAATAAAATCTTTTAAAAAAAATGTCCCTCTACCTTTATTAGCAGGAAATCATCTGCCTCTTGAAAAGTACCCTTAAACTTTCTAAGAATCCTACATTCTCAGTCCAAAGAGGTCAATATTGTCACGAGCACTGTTGTTTCAGCTGCCACCACAAGGTGTCGCTGTTGAAAGCTGGTTTTGCACAGGCCAGCACACACTTGCCCATACTCTGGTGATGCCCTCTCTGGGACAGGTCCTTGCCAGCCACAATAGTACCACATGCTAGGATTGAAGGTGGCAATGCTTTTAATTAATACACGTATGTATTCCCAAAGCCTGACGCTGTGCCAGGGTGCCTGCTTCTGGATTGCCCTTATGCCACTCGTATGGAGGTCACCATCCCGGATTCCCCGTGACCTCCTGAAAACTTCCCCTTTGTGGCCCTACGTGTCCCTTCCTGGCATCAGACTTGGTCAATGACATCCCAATAAGTTTTTGCACGTTTAAATCTCAGAAGCTAGGCTTAAGAGGACTTAGTTCCTTTCCTCCTTTAAGCTTCTGAGATGGTTCTGTAAATGTGTCCCTCCTTCAGAACTCAGCATATCAAGGGATCTTAGTGAGGGATCACCTTGCTAAACCAAGCCAAAAGTCCTGTTGCCTTCTTTTAGTTGTCAAAGATAAAGATCTTATACCTAGGGCGCTTGTTTGCAAAATATATGTATTTAAAGTTAGAGGAGGGGCACCTGGGTGGCTCAGTCGTTAAGCATCTGCCTTCGGCTCAGATCATAATCCCGGGGTCCTGGGATCGAGCCCCGCATTGGGCTCCCTGCTCGGCAGGAAGCCTGCTTCTCCCTCTTCCACTCCCCCTGCCTGTGTTCCCTCTCTCGCTGTGTCTCTCTCTGTCAAATAAATAAATAAAATCTTGAAAAAAAAAAAAAGAGGAACAAATAGCAGCAGTTCCTCTCATAACAAAAAAAGCTTGCTCCAACATGACTCGCTCCTTCTAACTATACAGAGAAGCAGTTGTTAACGTCTCCTTAAAAATTAATTCAGATCATGAGGCGCCTGGGTGGCTCAGTCGGTTAAGCATCTGCCTTCACCTCAGGTCATGATCCCAGGGTCCTGGAATCGAGTCCCGCATCGGGCTCCCTGCTCAATGGGGAATCTGCTTCTCCCTCTCCCGCTGCCCCTCCCCCTGCTCCTTCTCTCTCTCTCTCACTCATTCTCTCTCTCTCAGATAAATAAATAAATTTTTTAAAAAGAAAAGATGAAAGTTTCCTTGTCTCTCACATCAGCATCTAGGCCTAAGTAGCCCAGGGCTGGCAGGGTGGCAGGTACCATGGCATCAGGGACCTCAACCTCTTCAGTCTCCATGCTCCACCATTCCCAGGGTGTGGCCCTTGTCTGCAAGGCCTGTGAGAACACACATTCCTGTCAGCAGAATGGGGGAAGAGCTACAGGGAGGAGAGGAAGCCCTTCCTTATAAGGGCACGCCTTCCACTCACATCCCAGTGGGCCAGAACTTAGTAACCTGGCCACACCTAGCTGCAAGGAAGGCTGGGAAATGGAGCCATTATTCTAGCAGCCACCTAAACACAGAGGCTCTATTACCGTAGAAGAAAGGGAGATGGACACTGGGATACAACGAGCATCTTCTACCAGCCCACACCACATTCCCTCCAAGGACACCCAATCTCCATTTTCTCTTTCTCGGTCTAGTTTCAAAGGAGTTGTCCACATCCATTACCTTGGTTTCCTTCCTGTGTTTGTTGTCCATATGTCATGAGGGTTTGAAAAGTCTTTTGTAGAAAGAAAGGGAAGGCGCCTGGGTGGCTCAGTTGGTTAAGCGACTGCCTTTGGCTCAGGTCATGATCCTGGAGTCCTGGGATCGAGTTCTGCATTGGACTCCCCACTCGGCGGGGAGTCTGCTTCTCCCTCTGACCCTCCCCCTTCTCATGCTCTCTCTGTCTCATTCTTTCTCTCTCAAATAAATAAATAAAATCTTTAAAAAGAAAGAAAGAAAGAGAAAGAAGAAAGAAAGAAAGAAAGAAAGAAAGAAAGAAAGAAAGAAAGAAAGAAAGAAAGAAAGAAAGAAAGAAAGAAAGAGACTGTTACACAAATCCATTACTTAAGGGTGAGCCTTATTAGTGGTTGGGTGGTCTACCTGAGAAGACCATGCAACTACAAGAGGTACAATTGCCCAGACGTGCTGAGCCAATGAACAGACTCAAAAGCATGCTGAGAGAGATGGAAAGGAAGGGGGTGATGGTGTCAATGGTAAAAAGGCAATGAGGTTGGCAGCCAGGAGTGGATAGGAGGGGGGCTGGGTGGGTCAGACAGGACGCAGCGAGGGTGCCCCTTTCAAATTCCTGATCTTCTAATTCTTTAGGGTTGTGGGTGATGGGGGTGCTTCCCCAGAATGGGGTAGCTCTTTAAAGGAGTCATATACTAGGACAAAAGAGTAAGACAAAAGTCTTTTATACAGTGATTTCTTTCTGCTTACATCTGTTCATACTTACAGTGTTTACAAGGTAACACATGCTTGGAGAGCCAGATAAAATTTGTGAAATCTGTGAAAACATAGCATTTGATATCAATGCAAAGTACATGTTAAGATTAATCTGACTATGACTTTGGGCAAACGGCTTACCCTTCTGTTCCTAACTTACAAAACGCTACATTTAGTTTCAGTAAGATTGGTTGAAAATAGCAGAAAACCCTATCCAAACTGGCTTTAACAGTAAAAGGGAATTTATAGGCTTATGTAACTAACAAAAAAACCTGTGGTAGGGCTCAGGTGTGGTTGATCAAGGCTCTGGCTCAGCTTTTCTGAGATTTCCTTTGGCTTTGATCATGGTGGCAAATTATGTAGGAATTCAGATTCACCTTTGCACACCATGCCTTCCAGGGAAGAATGTTTGCATCCCATAGTTTCTGGCAGAAGTTCTAAGACTCACTCCAGCTGGACTGGGATGATGATTGTGGGGGTGATCATCACTGTGGCCAGGGCGGATGGGCATAGGGCAGGTACTGTGTGGCACCCTGGATTTAGGTAAGGGACAGGCTTCCCTAGAACCTGCTGGACTTCTCAGAATCAGAGGCCGAGGGGAAAATGCAAGCATGGGGAGTAAGCTGGAGGAATCCTCTGTGTCCATGTGCATTGCTTTGCTCCAACACCCTTCCCTCGAGCAGTTATGGCTTTCTGGGGTCCTGATGGGAACTTAAAGAGGCAAAGACAGAGCCAGTTCATTGTAACTAGGGAAATTTGAGCACACTCATAAAGGAAAAGGACATTTACAAGTGGTGGCAATGCCATGTCCATACTCATCTCCAAGAAATGCGTCGTCACCCGGATTGATGTCATTACGAAATCCTTTCTCCAGGGCTACAGTATGATTATTTGTGGGTCCCAAGTACTTTTGCCTTTGTGATCCCCTTCATCCACAAAAAAGGTTAAAAATTATATTTTATTATTGAGTTGGTATAAAGATGACACTTATATATATATTTAAAGATTTCATTTGTTTATTTGTTTATTTATTTAGAAAAGAGAATGAGAGCATGAGCGGTGGGGAGGAGCAGAGGGAGAGAGACAAGCAGACTCTGCGCTGAGCACAGAGTCCAATGTGGGGCTCGATCCCATGATCCTAAGATCACGATCTGAGCCCAAATCAAGAGTTGCACACTCAACAGACTGAGCCACCCAGGTGCCCCTAAAGGTGACCATCTTAATATTATATGCTAAAACATTTTGTCCAGCTTAAAGTTTCCTTTTTTTCTCCTAATTTAGAAAAGAAATTAAAGCATTTTCATGGGCCCCTAAGCATGTCATGGGTGCTAGGCACATATCCATTAGGCACCGTTCTTATTGTGCCTAATGAATAAGTAGGCCCTGCCTTTATCCCTGGTGCACAACAGGAGAAAACTTTTGATATCCACTTTTCCAAGAATTCTGTCTTCTTTATGTTGCCCATCTCAGCTCATCTGGAACTCAGTCTGCCATCTTGTTTTGAAAACTCCAAGTTGTCTAATGTTTCCATGGCAGGATAGGGAATCCAGATCTCCACCAGGGCCATAGAATTTTACAGGTAAGATGGAGGTCTGGCAGAGAGGTCCTAAAAATAATTACTTGGACTTCCCCAAGAGTAGAAAGGAAAGTGTTCTGTGCAATTTCCAGGCAT